ACAAGCTCACTGTGTAAATCGGGAGATAATTTCCAGGTTATCAGCTTCAATCACACTCCATACTCCAGACTAAAGTGGTACAAGCCCAGATCAATCAAACCGACCTCCAAAAAACTGAGATAAGAAAACTTCTGTGAATCTACATTAGGGTTTCATCAAAGATACATTACTGAACTAACGGCACAGGACAATACATCATTAACTGCTACAGCTGCAAAGATCTCCCATGGGTGCCCATCTACCCCACAGCCTGCTACAACACGTGTATTTTAACAGCAGAAGCTTCGGAGCTCATTCTAGTTGTGCCCAGTTGCTGTGACGGGTAAGACTCACTCGGCCTTTGTACCCCTAGGTTACGTACAGCAACCATCAGCTGAGCCTCAGGATGGTACAGAGCCAGCAGGAGTTGGCTACAAACAACTGAGGGATGCATTTTTGTGAATCTTCAGAAACAAACCAAAAAGCAGACTCCTAGATTCCGTGTGAAGAATGAATCAGGTGAAGGAACCAGGGAATATCTGAAAATGAAGTCAGACTGGCAGACAAAATCAAAAGCTCTAGATAGATAGGCATGGGCAATAAATCTTCAGAAAACTTGGAAAGGAGCTTCAAGGCTGAGCAAGGAAACAAAGGCTGCTGTTTTTCACATAGGGGGCCAGAAGCTGTGAAGGTTTTAGCAGGTTTGTCATACAGTCACCATCTTCTAATCGGCCAGCCAGTACACTTGCAAAATATTCAAGTCTGTACAATAGATTTGGGATTAACATTAGAACAATGTTCAAGTATGGAATAATTGACGCACAGTAAAAAGAACAAAAGAACAAAAGAAAAACACTGGCAGTGATTACAGTCCATAGCACTGTTGGCTCACACCCCTGGGACCAGGGTTCCAGTCAGTGCTGTGGCTCCGTGTGTGGAGTTTGCATGTTCTCCGCATGTCGTCATGGGGTTTCCTCCAGGTACTACAGTTTCCCCCCACAGTCCAAAAACATGCTGAGACTAATTAGACTTAAGAAATTGCCCCATCCTGGGTTATTCCCTTCCTTACACCTGTAGCCTCTGCTAAAGGCTCTGGACCCCCCCCACGACCCTGAATAGGATAAGCAGTTACAGAAAATGGATGGATGGATGTTAAAAAACCTCAATAATTATGCAATTAAACCTATGCAACATAGGTTTTAAAGGCAGTTTATATTAATGCATTTAATTTATGAAGAAAAAATATAATGAGTAATGATATGATTTGTTTCAAATTTTAAATACTGTAGTTAATTAAAGGTATCCTGCCTTTACTTGCTTGTGTTACATTTTCCTTATTTATATAATGCAAATTGCTAGGAAAATAATGTTTTTTTTTTTTCATTCCACTCCAAGCCAAGTCAGAGAAGCGTAATCTTTTGGCCCAGGATCCATTACTCATGTCGTCTAAATGGCCATCGGTGAATGGGTCCTGATGCATTTTGTAGCAATATTTTTACTTTAATTACTGCGTAATTTTCTGCAGTGAACTACAGGCTGGAATAAAGGATAGAGTCCTTTTGCTAACTGCTGGTAATTTTCACCTGCATATTAATAAAGTTTCCTGGCAGTGGATTTATGTACAGTAGCTGAACTGTTTATCGGTTACGCCAAGCACCACACCGCCCTTACCCTCCCTCCTTCACCATGGTTTTTAGCAGTATGCTTTCGCCAGTATCACCCCCCTCCCCCGCCCTCTGCTCACAGTATTATGATCCAAGAGTCACATTTCATTTCCACACTTTTCAATTATCAGCCACCGCAACAGCATCAGAAATCCATCCCTGCAAGATTTGTCCTGACTAAAAATCGATACTCTGGATTTTAGCGCTTTCTCATCTTGTCGTTGTAGTAAGCACTCAACGCCACTTACTGGCTACCACATCATCCAATAGTGCATTGCGCTAAACCAGTGAAAAAAGGGTAACATTCGAAAGTCTCTAAGAATCTGCTACTTCTCGATGGTGTACTGAAAGTCAATGCTCTGAGCTGCGAATTAGCAAAATATATATCCTATTGGTAATTATGCAAAGAATATGACAGAAGAGTAAACAGGGATAAATAAACATGGCCTTTCCTTTAGTGCTGGTATAAGTGTTACTGGGAAATGCTCCATAACGCCACAATGAGAAGAAACATCTGAGACCATGGACCAATTTTCCTTTCCATATAAACAGAAAAAGATCGAGGCCTGAGCAATTACTAGCAATATGACAGATTTAGTGTGACACGCAGGTCATAAATTTCCCAGCTGCCTTGCCTGGGGGGGTGGGAGTGTTCACCAGCGCCGTCACTGTGACAGGTTTTCATAAATTTTAGCACCTTGACCCTCCCCGTCCATCACAATTGCTCAATGTCAGCTGCGGAGCCATAAGGCCTGAAAAGCACGGGCCCATGGTCACTATCAGCTGCCCAGTGTCCACCAGGAACCCTGAGAGGCAGACCAGGCCGTGCCAATTTATACATCCATTTAGGAAGCGGCGGAGTCAGTGTGACATTCATTTTATGAGCCATAATTCTCTTGCTCGGCTCCTGCTTTGTGGAGATGCTCCTGGATCCATCAACAGAAGCTCGAAGCAATTTCACAGGTGATATCATCCAGAAACAGTGTTTTTTATATACAATGACTTTCTGCTGTATTTGTTTTTAATATGTTTAAGGTGTGTGATCAGGCAAGAACATTTGCACACCATTTGAAACTATTATTGTGGCAAATGAAATTATTGTCCTATGGCAGACAGTCAGTTTTACTTTCCAAAGTCTTTGAAAGAATTTGTGTAAAGCATTTAAATGGGGTCACAACAAACAACAAAACAAGTTTAGTACCGACATTAAAACAGTATGGAACATGAAGGCAAAACATGGTTCCAGAGATGACCAGAGTTGTAAAAGTCTCTGTAGGGCCATGTACAGTACTTTATATTCTAGTAAATACCACTGCTTAATTAGCCTGATTAGTATTTAATTAACTGTATAACTAAGGTGTTTTCACTGAAATACATATTTCATGAGCGGGAAGTGAAACACTTACAATATTGAACTGCACTGCGTTGATTTTTTTAAAAACAAAATGTCTAAAAATGGTGTTCATTAAGTACTCAAGACAAACTGTTAGCAAGGCCTGCAGAGTATACGAAGTCTGATGTAGGTCTTAGAGGAGTGCTTCTTAGCCCTGGTATTAACGAGGCATCGTGTTTGCAAGCTTTTTGGCTCTCTTAAATACGCTAACAACCTCATTACTAAAAGAGAACGGTTCAGATTGGTTCAGTTACCCAAATAATGAATTGAACTGAGTGCACAAGTGCTCGAGTAAATTAAAAACCATTACACTCCGTAGCCTGCTTACCCAGACACAACGACATTGCTAACACTGACCCAGCAACACTGCTAAGCCCAACAAAGCGACACTGTGAACCCAGATACAGCGACAAAGCTAACCCAGCAAAGAGACACTGCTAACACTGACACAGCGACACTGTGAACCCAGACACAGCGACACAGCTAACCCAGACACAGAGACACTGCTAACACTGACACAGCGACACAGCTAACCCAGACACAGCAACACAGCTAACCCAGACACAGCGACACTGCTAAGCCAGACACAGCGACACTGCTAAGCCAGACACAGCGACACAGCTAACCCAGACACAGCGACACTGCTAAGCCAGACACAGCGACACTGCTAAGCCAGACACAGCGATACTGCTAAGCCAGACACAGCGACACTGCTAACACTGACACAGTGACATTGCTAACCCTGACACAGCGACACAGCTAACCCAGATACAGTGACACTGCAAAGACCAACACTGCGACACTGCAAACACCAACACAGTGAAAACTCTTCGTTTGGAATGTGAAGGTATCAATGTAAGTTAAAAATTGGACTTTGCCAGTTTTAGACAGTCCCTCATGTATATGCGTATGTGGGCTTATGTTGTGGGTATCAAATATCCCCACCATGTGAATTTTGTGAAATAGAATTAGGTGATCAGTGTTAAAACATCACACAACAACAAAATGTGTCCTCTGCATTTAACCCATATATGACTTTTGTGACACAGCAGGGGGGCAGCTAATTCAACACCCGGGGAGCAGTGGTTGGGGGCGGTACCTTGCTCAGGGTACCTCAGTGGTGCCTTGCTGGTCGGGGATTCGAACCTGCAACCTTTCGATTACAAGTGCGCTTCGCTAACCATCAAGCCACCACTGCCCAGAGTAACAAAAACTTGTTAATTTGATGTTATGTGGACTGTTTTTTCAGGGGAAACTAATTTTTATAAAAATCTGTGAGTGCAAACAAAAAACTAAAAATGCTGTAAGTATTTTGTTTGGTTACTTATGGTTATGGTTAGGGTTGGGTAGGGGTTCAGGTTGTCATTCTTGGGGATTAGGGATTTTCCCATAGAAATGAATGGACAGTCCCCACAGATATATAAATACAAATGCGTGTGTGTGTGTGTGTGTGTGTGTGTGTGTGTGTGTGGGTATTATCGATATTATCGGCTATCCCAATTTTTTTTAATTTAAATTTCACTTTTTTTTTTTAATCTCACTCAGCCCTAAGGAAGATGCAGAGGACGGACAGAATGTACTACTTCATATGTTGTTGATTCATATAAACTATGTAACATAATTAGGAAGTTATATTTTAACGTGACCTATCTCACAGATGGTGCATTGAAGTTTGAAGTGTATGCGCTGTGCGATGCCAGTAGGACAGGAAGGGGAGGCGGAGCTAAAGTGGAACAAACCATCATTTGCTGGAGGGGTGTGGTACATGGTACTCTGAGATCGGAAGATTATATTTGATGTCTTTTAATTCATATGAAATATAATTAATTATTTTGAATTTGATTTATGTAATAGTGACATCGCTCAAAACTGGGATGACAGCTGCCACCCTTGTAGATGCTCCACTGCCGAGGTTTAGAAACCACTGCTTGAGACAATTCTCAGCAGTAGCTGGATAGTCCTACCTGTCCCCTGTTGAACCAGGCTTCTTGTAGCAGAAGATTGACAGGCCAGCGCCTGCTGGAAGCGCCTCCTTCTCTGCCTCCCAGTCTGCTTGCTCACTGGGCCTCAGGCCAACGAAGCTCACTCCTTCGCTGAACATGACTCTGCAAGAAACAGCAGCAGAAAGAGGATTTGCACAACATATTGCAACTTGTTTGATTAGTTGCTTCACTATTCATTTATTTAAAGGTAGCATAGCATACAAATGTCACTTATTTAAACCTCAAGTCATTTTCAGTTATATTTCATGCTCATTGGGCACAAGCAGGGAGACTATACAGTGATCTTTCCTGATATAGGGTTCCAAATTGTAATCCCAATGCAAGGCTTATATTTTCGGCTAAACGCATTTAAACACACCAACAAATCTTCTTATCTTAAATTGTATGAGAACAATATAATGAAAATCTGACACCTTGATGCCATTCCACGCAATTTTCAGATCGGTAAAATAACACAAATTCCTAGGCCCGAGGTTTGCAACCTCATGCGGCATACTCCTAAGGAACGACACCCAGTTACCGCTTGTTAGATTCCAAATGCTAAAAAGATCCAGCTGAGCAAACACAAAATGAGACAGACAGAGAAGGACAGAGTCTTCACAGCTTTATTTGCCCTCTAGAAGCAAAGTAGGACTTTGTATGTTGTAGTTCACTCAGGTTTCATCCTTCTGATAAGGAAATGGCCAGGCTCGCTACTTTATTCTTGATTCACTCAATAAGTATCTAAACTGTATGTCTAGCTATGCCAGTCACACCCCACAGGTTAAAACTGGAATGCAAAACATGTGCTTAACTGCAAACTATTTAATCTAATAACTCTGTGGGATAAGAGTCCATGCCTGTGATCAGAAGGTTACCGGACTGAATCCTGTGGCTGGCAGAGTGACTTCACCTTTGGGCGTTTAAGCAAGGCCCTCAACCCCCGATTGCTCCAGGAACTGTCTGACTCTGCTATCTCAGCTGTACATCGCTTTGGATTAAATGTCTGCTAAATACGTTTCTGTAATGTGTATGTCATCATATATGCTAGGATAAACTAATATGTATACATACAGTAGCAGGTAATGCATGATCAGCATGAGCCTGAAGGCAGGCAGTGAACAGGACTCCCGCTTCACCTGGGCATTCGGGAGCTTTTGTTCTTCCCATCTCGTGTTTATTGATGTGTTCAGAAAATACCATTTTCCGTTCCCTTTCCCATTTCTGTTTTCCTCTTGTAATGCCACAGCTGACTCGGCTATTCATCACCTTGACAAGACACTGAGGAAGTTTATTAAATGTGCCGGTTATTACAAGGTGCTGGTGACTTTGGTAACAATGCTAACAAAACTTCTCAGGAAGCCCTGGATTTGCTCCCTCCTCTGCTTTGCTATAGATTATCTGCTGCTTTGACCATCCAGTTTGCCGGAAACACTGCCTCCAGTTGGGAACAGCATGTTCTTTCTTAACTTAAACACCAGTTTGGCAATCATTTGCTCTAAAATGAAATGGCTCCCCTTGACTTCCTCAGCAGCATTCCCTCAAGCAGGAAAATAACAATTCTCAAACAAAACACTGCTTCATAATTTAAAGCAATTGTTACATACATAAAATCAATTGCCTGCACTTTTTTGTGTTGCCTACCTATACAAACATTGCATTTTATGTTCCTTTTAAAACCAGTTCACTTCAAAAGAAGTGACATGGGGGGAACTGTGAGCTGAGGAAAAACAAGAGAAATCAATGACACAAGTTAAATAACAGCCCATCATTTTTTTTTAAGTTTTAAGACAAAATTAGTTATGCATCCTCATTATACTCATAAGGAGAATGCATTTCCATTATCTATTATTGGGAATAAATAATAAAGTTTATTTAAAAAATCCATATGATAAGATAAAGCTAAACTATAAATCAAAAACAAAAGCAAAGTTTGTGCACAACTAAATACATACAGCAGGCAGACAGGGTCAAGACGTGCAGATACTGCACAGCTGCACAACACTGGGATGGTTAAAATGTGTGATCTAGGTCATTTTAAATGTGGTGTAATTGTTGGTATCAGGTGGTGGTTCTAGCATCTTGGATACAGCCACCCTCCAGGGATTTCCTTGCCATACAGAGTCCAGGGTTTACAGAGAATGGTGCAATAAACAAGAAACATCCAGTCAGCAGCAGGTTTGTAGCTAAAAATACCTTAATGAGAGGTCAGAGTAGAATGGCCAGACTCATTACAGCTAACGGGAAGGCCAAAAGTGCAACAACTACTCAGTACAAAATTGTTGTGAAGAAGGGCATCTCCAAATGCACAAGCTGTGAAAAGCTTCTGAAGACCAAAGGGGGATCCTAGCTAGTACTGCGTAGGGGTACCTAATGAAGTGTCACCTGACTGTATTTATGAACAGAAATTACATACATTTAACACGAATGGTGTTTACTTAAAACCTGATGGACTGCCTATCTTGCTGTGCCCTCTTTGAGCATACAGCCATGGCAACTTACAGCCACAACCCAGGCCTGGATCTGTCACTCACCAATTGGGACTGACATTACATAGCCATGAAACACAGTTGGCAGTGTACCAGTAGAGTGGGCAGATGTAACATCTACTGAGATTCGTGGGACTTAGAGCTAAGCATTTCTGTTGGTCTGTCAAGTGCATGTGAGATAGGAGCTCCTCCAATCAGAGCATCGTTCTGTGCCATGGTTGGTTTGCATAGAGGCACACAAATTAGTCAGACACCTGTGCCCTGAGCACCATATCACACCATTACGGTGGCTGAATTGGAATGAGAAGTTAGAAACATCTAGACTGGAAATCTGGAAAATGGATAAAAAGGATTAAAAAATGTGCAACGACACCAAAAAAGACAGTCTTATCACTGCAAATAGCAATCTTAACTGCAAAACTTATTCACCCTGGCAGTGCATCGAGCCATCATACAGCAAAGTTACAAAGAGCCTGTGTAACCGGCCTGGCATGAACCTGCATCCATGACAACCACATCCCACAAAACATTCAGGTAAAGGGATTTGCTTGATGAGTTAAACAGCCAAGTTCAAGGATAAGGGATCCCATCCCATAAACGGCAATGATCGAGCATTGTGTTTGGCTTGAGTATCCCCAGCTTAGTTCTGCCATAGAACCAGTACATCCCCCTGAAAAATGCTCATTTCCTCTGTATGGGACAACTACAGATAACCAAAGACAGAGAGAATATATTCACAAGAAGGATACTAAAGGCTTTGCACTGAGGAGGGAGTTTGTACAGTGAAATATAAAATCAACATATCTTGAATAAAGACTGTACCACTTGTCTCTAGCACATGGGACTGATGTTTTCAAATGTCTGCTGCCATCAACGAAATGCTTCCCTGCAGACGGTGTCTGATGCAGGATATTGCAAATATGAGCTGAGGCAATTTCGTGAAAACGCCAGCCATCACCAGAGAATACCAGGTATGTATTAACAGTTTTCTCTCAATCATGCGTATTTTTAAATAAAGACAATAAATGAACTCAAATGCAAGTATATGTCCTCGTTTAATAATTGGGCAAAACAAATGTTTCTATTCTGTGTATATTTATGCTCTACTAGTTTATACAACCATACTTTCTTTTAAAGCATAATCTTTATATACAGTACTGTGCAGAAGTCTTAGGCAGTCAATGAAAATGATGTTTAAATGATCTACATATTGGTTCAAAACTATGGCATTCTCTCTCAAAGTGTGTTAGCTTAACCATTTCAAAAAGCACTATTAAAGTCACCCTAGTATTGCAGCAACCGTGCAATAAACAAATGCATTTTTTTGACTCGACTACTACCCCACCTCGTACGACTAATCAGTACCTCACTGATTGAGTGATGCCAGTCCAATACTTAACACGCACACACACACTATGGGCAATTACAGATGCCAGTTTGGCTAAGCTCCAGAAATGGGCAGTGTTTCAATTAAATGTATTTAAAATGTGCATTTGATCACTTTTGAGTATTTTATAATTTGTATTTTGCTGGACAGAAAAAAATCAGATGTATTAAAAGCATTTAAAATACTTAACAAAATATGCCATTTCATTTATATATTTTCTGTGATTTTAAGAACTTTCATCTCCAGATCATGTGACACATCCTGTTGGGCCCAGATTGCTCGTTATGAACTTCGTTTTCCCATGACCGGTAATCCAAGAAAAGAGGCGTCCTGGTGCTCGGTGCAAATTGCCTTAAGGTAAAGTAATGGTAGCCATGACACAGAGCTGGCTATCAGGTATTGCTCACTGAATGTCATTATGGGACAGAAAAATAGAGCAATTAGCAAACAGCAATGCTGTTCACTAGAACTTGTGAATTGACTTGCTAGCCTGCATTGTAACAGACATGCTCAGGCAGTGGCATCTTGTGGTTTGTCATATATGGAAGACTTCAGTAGTGATAAATTAGGCTAGTTACAAAATTAATTTCTATCAGCTAGAAATTTGCATGCAGTAAATCATAATGTACAGCTTGTAAATAAGCATCTCTTCGATTTGCCTTTACCAAGCCGACACCTCTGCAGTGGAAAACCGAAGCGAGCTGGAACTGTGCTGTAACTAGTGTCTCTTCCTAGTACGGCTCAGTTCCTGAATGCCAATGGAAAAGGGGTGCAAACTGCTCACATAAATCACAGTGCTGGTGGGCCTTAAGTCATCAGCCATGCAGATGTGATGCTGTATAGCAACCCTCTGCGCCTCTTGGATTTCTGTATGGTCTTGGCAAACATGGCTTTCAGCCTGTCAGTAGCTTTACTTTCGCCTTCTTGTTTAAGTAAATCTCTGTAATATTGCTAACTGGAGGTGAACCAGGCAGGGTTGCTGTCCGTTCAGCTACAGACGGGCCAGCACCACGGACAGCAGCCACTCTCACCTGGACTAACACACCTGGGGCCAATTTCAGAGGAGAGAGAAAGCAAGCGAGCGAACGAGAGAGCAGACTGGAGGGGTACATGTGCAGCACTGTTCCAGCAGGCAACATTAGCGAGTCCCCTGGCTCCCGGCAAAGCACCTATTCAGGTAATGGCTGCAGGAGGAGAAGGAAAGGCAGCATTCCTCAGGAGACTGCAAGTTTTTATAATTTTCTTCT